GCGGCTTCCTGGAAATTATTTACCGTAGTGTTTAATAATTGATCAAATGTTAAAATCGTTAAATCTAAAACAGTACCTGCTTCCCGACAGTTGCCGAAATCGCTTGCCCAGGTGTAAGCGGAACTTTGGTCGCGTCGTTGCACGGCGTCCCTCTGTAAGATGGCGGGCTTGAGCTTAGGACCTAAAGATTGTATGAAAATAGTTCTGGGCTTGGTTTACCTTTGTTGAAATCTGGGTCGGGATCTACGCCCAGCGAGGAGAATGAGCCCCGAAGACACGTTCTAGAAAGAGAAAGAATATACGACGAAAGAAACTACGAAATACAAACTACTGCCTATGTCAATCCATCCAGAACCAAAATAAAATCACCGTACCGATTCCCCCCATCCCAGACACGTCGAAAGCCTCGAAATCGAGCTGTGAGGCGCTGGGACCGCTGATGTCATATTGCCTAAACAGACATAAAGTAATATAGAAGAAGTCCCGTACCGTCGCTTGTTGGGGTCCGATAAAATCGCGTAGGCCAGCGACACCTTCTTGAACATCTCTTGGGCTAAACGAGAGTAATCTCAAAAAAAACAGGACGAAATTACCGTGTTCATCGCCGGGGTTCCGATCCGGGTGGTATTTTAGAGCGAGCTTCCGGTAGGCGGCCTTGATCTCCACCTCGCTGGCCGTCTTTTCCACCCCGAGCATGAAATAGTAGTCGTCGGAGCTGGAGGCGGCCGGGGACAACGCCATCCTGAAAAAAAAACAGCGTTTTAAAGTATAATAGCGACATTGAGTTATAGAGAACGGCAAAAACTATAAAACTGACCGAAAAACACCGCCAAATCGTTCAATAAACATAATGAAGGTATTTTGGCTAATTTTAAATACAAATAAAGTACTTTTCGCAACGCCCCTTACTATTGACTACAGATTGGTGCAAACTGGACATTCTCGTACTCCAAGCTATTACATGAATTTGATCGGTTATTCCCCGCTAAAAATTGTAACTTTCTTGAACATGTGTTAGAATTATGTATTAGAGCGTACTATTAAACCCTCTAACCTATTATTCGACACTATACTATGAAATTTTCGGTTAATTCAAAACTTATCTAGTTTAATTTTTACTAATCTAGAAGGCTCGAGGTGGGCGATCGTTGAAAACCGCTGAAAAATGCTATTTGGCAATTTGGCAAGAGTTATCCGATGATTCAGAATTTCCCAATACGATGACGTAAGCGCGCAAACAAAAAAACCCCGCGCGTTGGGCGCTGTTTTCACGTATTGTCGGGGGCGGTGAAAAATATGGATTTTTGAGTTTTGAATGACCTTTTTAACCCTATGTATTTTGAAGAGAAAGCTAAGCAAACATCTAGTTACGCCAGGATAAAAGGTGGCGGGGTCAGCCCGGTCGAGCCCCCCTCCCCCAGAGCCAGGGTCCCGCTGAGAAAGCCGGACGTCGATATCCAGCAGCGCAAACCGGGTGGGCTTCTAAAGGGCCATGGAAGCGAGGGTATTTAGCCCTTATTTTGCTGTTTTGAGCGTTATAGCGTTGTTTTTATTTGAAGCACAATAAAGAATATAACTTACAAGGCTATAAGATATAAAAATCAGTTTATCGAACAAAAAAACTAGCGCAACTTAAGAACAATCATTGGAATTGTAACCCGAATAAGTATTTATAAAGAGAAAGGCCAGTAGACGATCACAGCAGTTGGATAAGTACTGGCAAATGCGTGTGGTGGGTGAGCAAGGGATGGAAAGAACGGAAAATGTGTAGGATTCGCGAAATTTAATCGAAGATGTAGCCAAAAATCCATTTTTAAAACGACAACGTATGCGTGATAAAGTGTTTGCCCTCGTGCGTCTTTAGAGCCTAAAAATCTTTATTTTTAAAACAACCGCTCGACACTCACCTTCAACAATTTGTCGCCCAAAATCCATGCGTTTGCGGGGGTGCAGAATGGGGAGAGAATGCATTGTAAGTCGTAGCTATTTTCAGCCTAAATTTTATTGATTCCTTTAATTTAGGATTCAAGTCTTTTTACTTTTTCATATTTTCTCTTAATCTTTCAACTTTTTAAAAGTTATTACTTTTTTTTAATTTTTCATATTTTTATTTACCCGAACTAGGAGAACATCCCGTTTTCTTCGCATATAAATGACACGGGTGCCTTCGACGGATTTGAGGACTCCGTATAGCCGGCCGACAGTCCTAGAATTTGTTTGAAAAGAGTTACGGGATTTTAGCTGAAACCGAGAAATAGAAAAGAGAGAGAGAGAGAGAGAGAGAGAGAGAGAGAGCCCTGATGCTCACGCACCTAACAATGTGCTGCCTCTCCTCGTCGTTGACAATCGGCGGGCGCAGTGCTGAAAGGCAAACTTGTTGCGATGAGCGGTTCTTGTACAAAAAGTTCCACATCGCGTCTGATCCGGCGCCAATCTGAAGATATTCCAGTTTTTTTGCATAGTTGTAAGTTTCCTGCTTTCGCCAAAAACTTACATTTGATATCTGGAACATTTGCTGGGTGCTGATCGCCGACTCGATGCCAGGAAATAGTTTTGTGTTCGCCTAAAGGACGTTGAATTTGCTTCATTTTTTTTGGAAAAGTTAGATTTTGAGCATTATCAGAGGTAAATCAATGACCCCCTTGAAAGCCGGGACGGGAAAGATCCGATAGAACCGAAAAGCGAAACTAACCTTCAGCTTCTCTGTAATGCCTTCCTTGATCGTGTTGAGCGTGTTGAAGGCATTCCGGTCGACAGACAGCAGTAGTAAATAGGCAGCCGACCCCTCCCAAAGCGACGAAATGTATGCGTGGAGGAAGCCACTGCAAAGGAAAAATTAGTACATCGACGATTAGGCCGTTTTCGCCCTCAAAAACACTTACTTATCGTTGAAATACGGCAGGCAGATCGGTGTCCAAATGGGGCACACCGAGATTGTGGAGTTGTTGGAGACAAAGTTGATCAGAATGTGCAGATCCTAAATTATAGCTTTAGTCGAATATCTCAGTGCCAAACCTTTGGGTTGATGGTGTATTTCTTGTAGCGGACCATCGAGACGAGCTGCCGATGAGCCAACACGATCCCAAACAGGACGCCCTAAAAGCGAAAAAAGAATTATCGCAATTATCGTAATTATCGTACCTCCGGGGCAGCGGCCGTGATTGTGGTGGCGATTGTTGTTGAGAGAAAATCGCGTTCGGGTGCCTGAAACAATAAATTACTTTTATTTTATTTTTTCGTAATTTCGATGAGATTTTTCAGTGTTTTTAGCAAAAGTTAGTCGTATTTCTAGTGAAAAACTGCCAAAAGTTGAAAACAATTTCACAAAACAATCGACAACCTATTTTTGCATTTTTAAAGCTTTTTTGTGAATTTTACGCTTCGGAATAGTAAAAAAATATTTGAGACATAATTTGTTATGAATTGACTGAAACACTAAAAAGTATCTTTGTTTCCCCAACTTACCGGCAGCGGAAACACGCGGATGGCGCACGATATTTGGGAGAGGTCAGTCTGCCAGCCTTCCAGGCAACTATCCATATACCTAAAAGAATAAACTTCTTAAGAAAACCCGAATATCCAACTTATCGGTGCCCTGCAGCAATCTCCGCAGATCGTAATTGTCGCCGCGCTTCTCGTAGACGCCCTCCAGCTGCTTCCGGCTGATCGTCGAGACAATTTGATCGAAAAGCACGTCCAGCTGGGCGGCAAGTTGCTCACGGCGCTTTGAGACTGAAATGTGAGAAATATCTACATGCAATGAGGTCCGCGTAAAATCGTTAACACCCAAGGCAAATTACCAACCTATACACAAAATCAGCGGTTTCCTAAAGAGGAAATGGGCGTGCAAATTGCGACTGGAGATCGAGTGCAGCATGTCGCCGCTCCAGTGCCGCACCCGGTTGACAAAGATGCCGATCAGGGCAAAAAGAGCACATAGCTGCTCCTCCTGACCACATCTAAGTTTAAGTATATAACCTCCACCCCAGGGCTCCACTCACGATACATAAATCGGCCGCCCGTACTCGGAGAGCACAAAGACTTGATAGGGGTAGTGAGCTAATCTTTCCAGAGCCGACTCTTCGATCGGCTCCGCTTCCGGGAGCTCTATCTGGAACAAGAGAAGATTTATCATACAAAACTCCGTCCTACCTGTTGTATAGAAATGTTGTGCGGCTCCGCGAGACCGGGCAAATCGCTGGTGGACGCTTCACCGGGCGCCGAGCCAAACCCCGGCGGGGCTAAAATCATCCTCGATTTTTAGCTTGGTTTTAACTTACCTAAGAACCCGCTCATCTGAGGAAATTATAATCGACTGCGTTATTTCTTTATATCTATCAACCACCTTCAAAGTTTTTCATTATAGTTTATAGAAGGGCCATCTGCGTCTCTGCGGGGCTATTTTTGCCGCCGAAAAGAGCGCCTACGGTCTCTGGTTCAACAGCAACCACTAAAGTGAGATGCAGGCTTTTCCAAATCTTTGATGACCCGGCTCTTTTACAATTTAAACGCTTAAAAGCCATCACAAAGCATGTCTGCCCTATTTTTAGGGATAGTGTACAGGGCGTAGCCAGAAAAAATTCGGGGCCCCGAAAAATTTTTTCCGAAAACTCAAAAAATTAACGAGAAAACAGCGCCGCAGGCGAAAAATTTTGGAAAAAGGCCTTGGCTCTACACTCGCAGTAGAAACGTGAAAATAGCCGAGGGCAAATTTTGAGAAAATAATCATAAGGGTCCCCCATGAAATTTTCGGCCCCGGCCGATTTCGGGGGGGGCCCCGGGCCCAGGGGCCCACCTTACGCTACGTCCCTGATAGTGCAAATTCCAATATTTCTCAAGGAAAGTACCTGTTTATCGCAAGTGTCTTCTACATATACAACATATACAAAGTGACAAAATAAAGGCCTCGGGCGATATAGTAGCACTTGTTCGTCGGCTCTCCTACCCGTCCACAGCAAATCTGAGCAGCACGTCGAAGTGGCCTAATTCGCCGCAATTTCTTGGGATTCGGTGTTCTAAAAACGATTTATAGGTGAGGACAAAATCAAATTTTAAGTTATGACTTCGAAACTTGCAAGATACCTGTAAAAGCATCAATTTCTCGGCTAGCGACTCGTTGAAGCGAGTGATGTGGTTGGGCGAGACGGTGTTCAAGAGTTCCCGGGCGTTCCGATAGTACACCGTGTGGAGCTCGACCTAAAAATCCCGTCAAAACATACCCAAAAACTAAAACCTTGGTATAATCGCCATTCATGCAATCAGAGTGCTCGCTGGCAACTCGCCAACCCTTCATCGTCAGCTCGAGGCAGTAGACGTGCCCTAAAAAAAGTTAGTAGATCTGCCTAAGCCTCTGAAAAAGAATCCGGCTTTAAACAATTCGAAATAACATCAATTTCAATTTCAATTTGTAAGGTGAAAAATCAGAACTTGGAGTGAGCTTTTTAAACAAAATTTTAAATCGAAGAACTGCTTGGAATGGGCATCAGCAAACACCGTTCATAAGATTAGCTCGGCCTCATTTTAAAGCCGAACCTAATTAAGACCATTTAAACCCAGAAAAGCCACAAACCTTCGTGTGTTTTTACATTGACGAAGATCAAATCGGAGGTGCGAGGGAGGATCTCGGAAACGCTGATCGCTTCGACCTAAAAAGTTACCGACCCTTTGAAAAACCATGTGCCAAAATACCTCCAACGCCAGCTCGTGGACCGCTGCAATAGCTTCAAGTTCCAGGGCGCCAATTCCTTCTTCTTGCATCGAGCCTCCAACCTCGTCATGCCGCCGCCGATTCATTTCGCCGATTTCTTCGAGGTTCAATGGGGTCCTAAAGCGGATTTTTGCACGAAAGTCGGATGCTAACTTGACATTGCCCTGGCTGGTCTGTCGGAGGCTAGCGGCCAAGTGTTTCGGTCGTCCGAGCGGGATCTAGAATCATGTTTTTGGTAAATAAAGGGCATCCTAGGTTTCCGTGTTCATAGGGAAATGATATCACTACGGGAGTGCGTCCCCCGCTACAGCTAAAGAATAAATAGATAGAAGCGAGAGCGGAGGCTTTTGCTTCACCAGAGCCGACTACAAATTTCGTAGGGCACCTTTTAAGCAAGTGAAATCGATTATCCAAAAAAAATACCTCTGTCGGGTCAACGCCGTCGAAATCGAATTGTGCAGTGCCCGAGGTCGGTGATACACAGCGGGATGACTTGTAGACCTGAGCCGCGCTATTCCATCGCGCCGAGCTGAAAAATCACTATTGGGAAACGATTTAATCGAAATCTAAAGATTTGAAAAAGACAAGACCTACAATACTAAAACTCACTCTTGCTGTTTATAAAGCGGGGAAACGCCCAGTGAGTCGGCTAAAGTGTTCGCGACCAGCGAGCCGACGAGGGGTACGGAAGTGCAGCCACATCTTTCGCCGGGCGACTAAAAGGAAAGATTATCGATATTAAATTAAAGACCCACCGTTTCTTCGGGAGTGTGAGGTGGGGTGGCCATGGTGCGTATCGTTAGCGGTTAGTATCTGCAAAAACTGGATCAGCCTGGGCAAAAGATGGAACTGGGGAAAGCAGAGAACAGCAGCAGGGTCCGATCAATTGGTGGCAGCCAACGCCAATGAGCACTGGGTCAACCTCCGAGAAGTTTAAAAAGAATTGGGGAAGTGGAAGTCAGGAAGAAGCTTATGATAACGGTAATACGAAGGTGTCGCAAAAATTTTGGCGACATTCTGGCGTAGAAACGCCAAGTTTGGCCTCTTATATTGCTTCCGATAAGAAGTTAAGTGCTTCAAAAACAAAGCTGTTTCGATAAAGAAGAATCGTAAGGAGTCGTAAGCTGAAAAAGGAACCAGCACGCATAATAGCCCAAGACAAATCCTGTTATCAAAAGAAGTGTGCTTTCCAGCAAATTTCCAAAAGTAGAAATTGAGTATCCTGTCCCCAAAGCCCGTTGCTAAAAGACTAAACAATCGAATACTCCCAAAATATAAGCCTCAAGGCTTCAAGATGTATAAGCTTTTCATTTCGGTACGAATCCTTCTGGAAAAAAGCAATTGATAATTTTGACCAGCATAAATTGAATGGCATAACTAAAAACAGTAGAGGCCAAAACTATCGGACAAGTATTTATGCTTCAAGGATTATACAGCAGCTTATAGGCTTAAAAAAGATAGCATTTCCTCGGAAAGGCCATATCCGGCAGTTTTTTTTGACAAGTATAAATCGGAAAGCATATCTAAAACAAGGAGATACCGACAAAATCGAATTCTCCCAAGAATGTATGCTTCAAGAACCGCCACCGCAACGGCCGACAATTGGAAAATTGGGGGGGCAGCCGGGGAAAGCAGTGTGTCTCGGCCGTGAAGTGTGGGTCTTTTTGGGATGAGAGTGTGGGCAAGAGATGAGAGGGGACGAGATAAGGGCGAAGAAGGTGGGCCCTCCGCGAACAGCCGGGCCACGACCTCGTGCCCCCGATCAGCCAGGTTTTGACGTAATTTTGGTCGGGCTAATGCCTGAGGGGAGCGATCTTTGAAACAATCCAAAAAGCGGTGTTTTTGTAGATGAAAGACTAATGGTCACGTGGAATCGTTAAAATATAAAAAAGCTACAGAACAATTGAGAAACCATGTAGTTACAAAAGTGCACAATACAGGGAGTGGCTTTGTGGAGCGTCGCGTCTTCAAAGCGAGTACGGGACACTGCCCCCGTACGCGTTTATACCTTGCGTTCGCTGCATTTCCGCCGATTGGATTTTCTTTTTGCGTATGTGGCTGTCTCTTTAGAATGATAATGTTTTGGTCAGCTCCTGAAAAATCAGGAATTCAGATAAATTTATAATTAAATACCTCTAGAATGTTCAATATTAGGGTTTTGGCTTTTTCAAAAGTTTTAGTTGATACGATACGGTAGAATGAAAAAAAAAAGGTGAATCGAATAAGCTACATCGTGCGCCCGAGCCTTTATTACTGGATGAGCTTTTCCGAGGCCGTTCAGCAAGCTTCTAACCGGAAAATGGCCCTGAAACATTCCGGCATCATCCCATGGACCTCATTGGCAGGGCCCATCAAGGGTTTTGCTCTTTTTTCTTGACTTTTCGAGGAATTTGCCTTTTCCTGAGCCAAGCTTTTGGATCCGGTTCATCCCCGGGGGCGGAGTGCAGGTTCGTTAGCCGGATGACCCGATTCTCGGCCGGTTCTCATTTTCTCTTTCCGACACTTTCCATTGAACGGCCGACGATTGCCGAGATGCTCGTGGCACTTTTCATTTCTGCCGGTTTGTTACTCAGTTTTTAGGATAAAAATTAAAAAAATATGATTAACGGGCCCGGGAAGTGCGAAGCTATCTCACTGAAATCTAATAGCTGGTAATAGCAACGTTATTTCCCTTTTTCAAACACATTTAAATTTTATAACTTATTTTAAGGGTTATTGTACGTTGCTTCTGCCGTCGAGGAGATCCCACCTTGTCCAGTTGGCTCCAGGCCGCTTTTGAGGCCGGATGGGGCCCCGCGAAAATGTCTGCCACATCAGAATTGGCTTTGCGTAAACGCCCTGCCCGATAATGTACGTTTTTCGTTACGTTTCGACGCCGCGAGACCTTTTACACTCTGAAAGCTGGGCATTTATCGTAAAATGTTTCAATTTGGCCATTTGCCAGCCGAAAGGCACTAAAATCGTTGGAATTAGAGGCAAAAAAATCATTTTTTTTATCACTTATAATAATATCTAGGCTAAGACACGGCATTCCACGGAGGCAGGCCCCCCGGGGCCGCGGCGCAATCGGTTAGAGCCGATCCCAAATCTCAAACAGAGGGTCCGGGTTCGACCCCCGGGACCAACGTGCAACCGCTATTTCTTCCCAAAACCTTTGGCAAGCTTTTTGCGTTTGCTTAAAAATTGTGCTCCAGCCATTGAAAACTGCTAAAACAATAAGGATCTTGAAAAATTAACCCGATAAAAAAGACACGGTTGATCCACTGGCGTACATATTC